AAGTAGATTTCAAATTGAATTTTGTTTATCTTTCTGTGTTCTTTTTAGGCATACCTACTAACTGCTACTACTCTATATAAAAAAACTCGAAATAAAATACACCACGTGTTTTTGTATTATTATTCGCTTATAACGAACCAGTTTTAGTTTTAAGTCTAAAATGTTTGATTTAGCGTTTAATCATTTCAAGTTATTGCCTGTTTTATTTTTCAAGTTACCAGTTACCAGTTATTTCAAGAGGTCACTTAAAAATCGCATTTAGAAAGTCCGTTGAGGTTTAGCAAAAAAAGGACAAAGGACACGTTTTGATTATGCACATTTGTTTATAGGTGAGGAACCCAGAAGATGTAACTTTGCATGCTCAAAACATGAACATCCCATTGAATCAACATTTTGCCCGGAGGAGAAGAGGCAATTTGCCCAAAGATTCTGTGAGAGTCTTGAAATCGTGGTTATATTCCAACCGGTAAGTGTTAAATGTTAATGGCTCCGTTAAACCTAAGGGACACTTTTGATAAGGACGGTGCAGTTGGCTCTTACACAAATAGAGGCCCTAGTTTTTTTTTAATCTGTGCCACCTTGTAGTGTGTTATATTTATTTCAGAAATTAAAATTTATTTACGGCTAATCTTACATTGCAGTTACCATCCTTACCCAACGGAAACAGAAAAAGGAAATCTTGCGAAAAAAACGAATCTCGCATCTGGGCAAGTTTGTAATTGGTTTATTAATGCAAGACGGCGTGAATTGGTTAAAATTATTAAGAATGAGGGACGGGATCCTGAAGATTACAAAATTTCGCGAAGAGGAAAAAAGCTTTCTGAAGACACCATGCAAGGGTAAGGCTTTGTTTTATAACAAATTTAAAACTTAATTTCATACCAATTTAATTTGTTGGATTGCAAATGTAAATATTCAGGTTGAAAAGCTATTAATTTCATTGCTAATAATCTGAAGCCGCGTGCAGACCTGACACGATAGTAGCGCGACGCGAACGCGACACTTACAAGACTTGCCTCAAACACTGTAAATAAAAAGTGCTTGGCACCTGTAATCTGCAATGGAAAAACCAACTAGAGATGAATTAGGACGAACCCCAATCGCGTCTTCAACCAACAACATTTACCGAAATCCGTCCAATTCTCTAAAGTTTTTGTTTTCACCCGAATGTTAAGATCATTTTCCTGGTAAATTTTAATTCAATGTGTAAACGGGCTGAACGGATAATTTTCATGATTGTTCTGGACAAAAAATTGAAAGAGCTTCGACAGGGCATTCACGAGTTCAACTACCGGTGATGGCGCTGCAAAACGTCAAATTACTCGTTGCCGAGTGACAGTTAAGACTTGTCAGACTTTATAACAGAACAATACTTACATACTTTTCGATCTGTTTCTGTTTTCTTTAAGCTTGCAAAAATTTATTAGAATGAAACAACTCACAATCAGATATAAACACCAACGTAAGCAAAACAAATGTCAAATTACTACTTAACTTGTAGTTGTAATTTCACTCATCAGGGGGCGTCTGGACTTTTGAAGTTGTGAACGGTTTCCGGAGCGTCCACACTTAAAATCTACTGCGCATCACTTTTCCGTTTCACCATACTGTGCGTTACGCTTCAAATTGTGGTTTGTTTCGAGTGTCGCGATTGCTTAACCTCCGATTTGTAAGATGTTTAAAGGCAAGATATTGCAGGAAATTTTTAGCTTACCTTTTTTGAAAATGGTCTAGTTGACAGTAGTTTTTAATTATATTCATGTTTGTAGAATTCATGCTTGTAATTCCGAAAATTGTATAAAGATAACTGCCGAAATGGATCATGACTATGAAAAAGGTCCTAACATAAAAAATGCAATATTGATGAAGCTTGATGGTAAAGACGAGTTGAATGAATTCGATATACTAGTAAACACTGCTGTGATGTTACGAGACATGGAAAGGAAAGATGATTAGAATACTACTTGAAAAGTAGCCGATGCAAATGCCTTAAATAAACTGATCGTATGAATATGGGGTAATTTACGGAAAAAAAAATATATGGGACGGAGTTTTGTTGGCCAGAACGTGTATAAGAACCCACATACGGATACGGCTACAGAGTCGTATCGAGAGTTTGAACGAGGGAGCTGTGTATATAAAGATACGTAGTATAAGTATAGTAGTGCCAATAACGATTTTTTAATGATTTTAAGTAGTGCTAACTAGACTAGATGTAAAATAAAACTTTAGAAGGAAACCAAAATCAGATTTCCATCGGAACATTGATTTCTTATTTGACAGTTTTTCAAAAACGAAAATGTGCATTAACATTAATAATTATTATACAGGGTGTTTCAGAAATAAGTACCTACATTTTAGATTACACTCGTAATTCAGAGAAGTCAGTAAGCCACGGTTCTGTTATAATAACTTTTTCTTAATAAACAGTTAATATAGATCCACCGTACTTGTCTTACAAGTAATCCATTACAAAATGTAGGATATTCCTATAGAGCATAATAGTAAAGCGTAAAGCATGATAGTAATTTCAATGAATAACAAAAAAATAATGTAATTAAATTCGGTATAATATTGAGTACTAATGTGCGCATGCTGTGGTTAAAATTAAAATTATCTATCTGATTATGCATCATGGTCTATCGAATTTCAATTTTAGAATATTTTATTCAGAAACACCCTGTATTTAATATAACAATGAATACTCAAGTAGTAATTAAAGAGCAATTTTTTGGCGATCTTCTTGGTTAGGAATAGATTTAATTTAATTATTACAATTTTAATTAAAATTTTACTAATACAGACAGGATTTTATCCAGTCTTTTATTTTTGTAAGGGAAATAAATGTATTTGAGGGTTCTATGCATCCGTTCCAAATGCTCATTTGTATTCAAACCTGAACGTAACCGGTGACAATTTTCTTTTAGATAGTTCCATAAGCCATGTCGAATTTATTGACCAAATAAACCCATATAATTGTATAAACAATATATATTGTTTGTTTTTGTCCTATTTTCCTCTAATACTTCAATTATCTTCAAATATTCTAGACCTATTTTTAAATTATTTACAAAGATGGGAACAGAACATCATAATGGACTCCTGTTAGGATTAGGATCTAAAAAAGTTTCGCTATTCAGCGAATCAAAAATGGTATTTACAGTATCTACGCAAGTTGCTGTATAGGTAGCGGTACCACTATATCCAACTTATTTGAGAAGCTGATTTTATTGAAGCAGCAACCGAGTGAGATAAAATTTAAGCTGCAAACTTTACCCGCATTTTTTGAAAATTGCTTGGTTTTCTTCGGTAAGTTCTGGACTTCGGTAAGTTTAGTTAGTGTTCTGGATGTCTTACTTGTTCTATCGGCTTGAAAAGTAAATGTCTGGCCAGGAAACCAACAATCCTTTAACATAAAAATTAAGCTTTGTGTTCATGAAGTTAACTGAATACGAGAAGCTGCTTGATAAGAGTGGATAATAAGGAGATTACACAGGCACTAGCTTGTTTGGTGTTGTATGGTTTATTTTCAAACACCATTATTCGAGGTTATGAGAACAGGTTGACATTTCGTCAACAAATCTTGTTGATTTTACCGTTTATCCTTGTCTATCTTATTGTCAGTCTGTATAATTCCATGGTTACCGGAGTTTTAAATAATTACGAAGCCACAGGTATTTGCGCCTAATTAACATTAGGCCGATTACTTTGAAAATCATTGCTGCCGTATTTCTGATATAGTTTTTTGCAAATTTCTCAGTTTTTAATAACAGTTCATTGATTTTACTATTTTTTCTGTACTTCTATAACAGCGCCCGACAACACCCCTAGAGGAATGACGCCAATTTTGAATCACCCTGTATGTAATGTCGAGTTAGTCTTTTTATTCACATTATTCTCGATAAAAAATAGTACTTTTGTATATAGTAATTTGTGTTTTTTTAATACCCGACTATCAACGCATCGCTAAATTATGAATCCCAATAAATGATAAATGTATGTGTTGAATCGTATGTAATCAACAGGGTGTCCGGTAAGTACAGGGTTTCTCATATATTTTAGCACCCCAATGCAAGGGTTATTTGAAAAGTTACAAAACAAGTTGTTGAAATTAAAGTTTCATATTTTTTCCGTACTACCAATATTTTTTGGTGAGACATGCAAGACTGTTAGAGAATGTCAATGTTTGTGTTTGCAAATTTCTTCTAATGGAACAGACGGTATACAGGGTTTTCTGATTCTTTGTATGGGTAACTTCTACATTTTTAACGATATCAGAATTTGTTAAATGGGCAGAATTCGATTGCCTATTCATTACCGTTTCGAAATTTAGGTACCCGACTTGGTTCCTGAAATATCCTGAAAGGACAAGACAACACTTTTAATTAACACATATTTCGTAAACTGCTTAACTTAGAAAAAAACAAACAAAACTGCTCTTAGTACAACTTTTTGCGTTGAATCTATTAAACTAGCACTCGTTGTTATACTCAACTTGATTTACGAGATAAAAAATAAACTTATGTTTTTTCAAATGGTAATCATGGTTGGCCAAAGGCCCACAGCCTTTTAAAATTCTCATTTTTTCCTGAATTTAACGATATAATTGTTTGTTTGTTTATCTCATCTTTTAATTGTAAAAATTAAAATTTAGCGTTAGACGCTAAACGTTATTGTGATCATGCGCAGTGTTCAAAAATAAGGTGTCAGGCAAATAACGTTAAGTGCCTTTTTTAGTTAGGTTTGGTAGGTATGGCAGTGGGACCTGATGATTTTTCGAATCCTTGCAACCATGATTCGGCAAATACTGGACGAAGCACATTTAAATTTGTACAGGCACTATTTGTGCTTACCGGGTCTGGACATGTTTCAATGTTTGTTTAAGTTCACCCATCGGATAATATATCTAAGAGTAATTTCTCATAGAGAAAACCCTTAAAAGTTTTATTGAGAGTTATTATTCAAGAGGAAAATAGTTACGAAACCCGGTTATATAAATAGTCAGCCGGCGAACAACGCCAATAAAGTAATTTAAATGGGTTTGGAGTAGAATACTGTAAACATGGATTCAACAGCCCTTGCCTGCATAAAGGAACAATAGTCATTCGGTCGTAATTTATGGCTGACCCAGCACATTCACACCCCAATTTCTAGTGTTGGAATTCTGTGTAAATCCTTGGTTAACTTAAGGTTTTAAGGTATATTTAAATAGTTAAAAGAAATATGTCGCCTGGAATGGCTCACCGGCAACTAGCTCAGCTCCTAATACATATTAAGTTTTGGTTTGAGTTTGATTTTAATAAATGCATTAATTTGGAAGCGTCGTTTTCCTTAACAACTAGGGTCAAGTGGATATCCAGTGGAACAATGAGTTTCAGCCCGGTTTCAGGTACAAACCAGTATTTAACATGTGAAAAAAAATCACAGTTAGGCCTAGTTCTCAAAAGCGAATTTTCGGAAAAAGTTGGAAAAAAGCAATAATTTTGACTCATCGTGTTGGTAACAATGACCACGATTTTAACCTAAAAGCCCACTTTTTCGTTCCCTCGCTCAGATATTTTTTTCTTAACCGTCCGCACCAGTCCTGGCTGGTTAAAATCCAAGTATGTGCATAGCGGCAACATGGCAGTGAGACGCGCAAGCGCAATCAGCCAGGACTGGTGCGGACGGTTAAGAAAAAAATATCTGCTTCCCTCGCTCGACGTTCGTCAAACTCGTCTTTATCTATCGCCCATTGACTTTATTTATGCTATGGCCCCAGGGGGGGGGGGGGTTATGTACAAAAAATACAGTCTTCTGTTATCTATGAAATTAGAAAAATTATCGTCGTTTTGTGCAAGGGTGGCGCAAGATTATTTGTCATCCCGTTTTGCATGTTTCTCGGAAGCAAAATGAGCAAGAACGCTCGTTTTTACATCATTCCAGATATAACCATAGATAACTAAATGGCCTTTATTCGAAGTTTCTCAAGAACCATTCGAGCCACAGAAGTCGTTTTGGCATCGTTGGATAGAGAATTGAAAACTCGATTCAGTCGTAACAACGTTAGTAAGGAAATTCGAGTAGTTTTGACTCAGAAAGCGAAATTTGAATATCAAACACTTAGGTTCAAGATTATGCCAAAATTTCATGTTTTCCGTCCCGTTTTTCCTAATATCTCGGAGGCAAAATGAGCAAGAACGCTCATTTGTACATCATTCTAGACAGAAGTAAATGGCCTTTTAGAAAGTAAACCATCGATAAGAAAATGTTGGCAGTTTTCTCAAAAAATGTTTGAATTCAAGAAGTTTTAGGTTTGCGTGGTTTTTTTTGAGTTGCAAAATCCACTTGAACATGACATTGCTTTTTTCGAGGTTTCTCAAGAACCATTCGAGCCACAGAATTCGTTTTGGCATCGAATTCTGGGAAACGAAGAAAAATAATTTTTTCAGATTCTCTCATTTCTAGTACAAATAGTAAAATAAATGTTTTCAAACATTTTCTTAACTACATTTAGGAATGTTTTCCGGGATTTGAAGGCGTGGTCAATCGGAATTTCTTCCTGACGTTTCGAGATCACTTCGCCCACTGCCTCATCGCCCTTGAAAATGTCCACCGCAGTTGTGGACGAAACGTCAGGAAGAAATTCCGATAGACCACGACTTCAAAGCCCGGAAAACATTTCTAAATGTAATTTAACCGGCCGTGAAAACCTTCATTTTCTTAACTTTCTCTCTGGGTTCCAGTACCTGGACACCATCTCGAATTTCGATATTTCAACAAAGCAAAAAGGCAAATACCTGCCGTTTGAATGAAGTGGTACGGTTTTGTATATGGTACAAGCAAGGATAATCCGCTTCTCCTTGTTTCTGGTCCTTGACATACATCTTATTAGAAAAGTAATAATTTGTCTTGATTAACTAATTGACAAGTTAGTACTTTATTCCCACTAAGTTTTGGACCACAAAATGTCTTAGTAATTTTTACAAACAATTTTCAACAAAAAATCGGGTTTTTTAGATTCCCGTTTGAAAAATCGAAAGGATTGCAGCAATCGTAATGGCATAAATGGGTGAATTGCAGAATTTAACTACGAATAGAATGAAAAGTCGATCCCTCGATTGGATCATTAGATCCGGAGAAAACTAGGAAAAGCCGGGAAATTTTACATTTTCTTAAACTTTCAAAACTTGGCCATTTTTTAATATTAAGTTTCAAATTTTGCTCACAAATATTTCGGAAACGATTGATCCGAGGAAAAAGTGTTTCAAATACGAAGTTATTATCTGGGAGGGGGAAGTTTATTCATGTCAGAAAAACAGCGCCTACTTCCACCTTGTAGGCAAGGCAGGCGCTAACTTGAGATTTAAAAATGATAACCACAACATTTTATTGCAGATTGCGAAAAAGTGAGAATATTTTATCTAAAACATGTTGTATGGTTTGTCTTTGGCGCGCTCCAGATTTGTACGCGACTTTAACTTGGGAAATGTAAAAATTTATCATTTACCTATTTGATTTCCAAAATGGCGAAAAATATTAGTTTTTGTTGTTTTCCTTTAAAACGGTTCAACATAGAAACTTCAATTTGCCAATTCAAGTGCCATTTTATATGTGGAACCCCTAGTTTTGTTTTGCTCAGAACTTTTTTGTGCTCAACTTTTCTCGACATTATTTTGTTTATTCCTAAAAGTTATTTACCAACTTTTTTATCTCTTATTGTTTTTTTCTGAGACCACTCGTTTGCCCGCAAAAAAAATCGGTTTTCTGCCGTTTCAAAATGTGTAAGTAATTAAGTTAATTTTTTAAGATCTAATAACGTTTTCATATGACAAGTTTGGTACGCACTATTAGTTGATTACTAACAATCTAATTATTTTTCAAAATTGTGTATTTTGGTTCAGATTACAATTATTAAGTTTGAATAATTTTTCCTTAAATAATAACATGGTAACAATATGCGTAACGATATAAACAAACCAAATTAACTTTAAATAACCATTCTAATGTTAACTTAGCACCTTGCTGGCCACCTTGACATTCTTGGCATAATCGCAGTCTTTTAATGAAATTTACAGACCGTAAAGTTTGCACTGAAGTTCTTATTTCGTTAGAAATATTTCAAAAATTTCCGGAAGTTCTTCGATTGTATTCAATCAAGCGCGTTTAGATCTTCTTGACTTCTAGAGCTTCTTGACCTCTCCCAATCTAACGGCTTGAAAAGTTTTGAACAAGGCGAAACGATACATTTTTTTGGGGGCAAACTAGTGCCCTTAGGAAAAAACAACAAGAGATAAAAAAGTTGATAAATAACCTGTAGTAATTTAAAAAATTATGCCGATAAAAGTTCAGGTGCACACAAAAAAGTTCTGAACAAAACTAAAGTAGGGGTTCCACATTTCTACCCTGTGTAAAAGTAAACTAAACCACAAAACACTACCATAGAATGGCACTCAATTGGCTTATAATTGAAGTTTCTATGTTTAACCGTTTTCAAGAAAAACAACAAAAACTAATATTTTTCGCCATTTTGGAGATCAAATATTTAAAAATGGGACCACAAATTATAAAAATCACGCGTTCTAAATCACACCCTCTAAAATGACTAGGATAACACGCTATTAAAATATTTTAACATATTTACGGAACACCCTGTATATCATACCATGATATATATAAGCTGTGGATTCACTTTAAAATTGACACTTTCTATGCTCTATTCTGCTTTGCGGCGTTGTCGGCCGGTCTAGAGCAAAACATGGCCGTTCTCATGGCAACATGCACATTCCAAGGGAGATCAACATTCGTTTTCACAACCGTAAGAAACCAATTTCTAACAATTAATCATGCGCAATAAGGCGGATTGCGTTCGCACAGATTTCTGATTGGTTTCAAATCACAGGCGCACTGCACTGTTCTTTCGCTAGAAATCGATCAGGAACCTTAAATATTTTGCATCTGCGCATTAAAACTGGCTTGGAAACAGTCACTGACAATCACAAACATGTTCGAAATTGGCTGTGAGAACAAACCTGATAGGGAGCGGTCATCACGCCGACAGTGTTTAGTATGTGTTTAGTTTTGATGTTGTTTTATTGCTATTTAGGGTTGTTTACTGGAAATGATGACTGAAGGTGTAATGCGGGGGTACATCGATGTGAAAATATCGTCGAAAAGTCGCCGGGGATTCACTCCTTGGAAGGTATTTGGAGTTAGTAGCAAATTGCTCATAGTTTATAGATTTTCTTAGGCCCAAATGGCCAGAAACAGGGGAGTTCTTCTGACCTAGAAGGTTAATTACATATCAGATCTAATTAATGCCAATCTGGCTTGTTTGGTTCTTCGTTAGTGTTCCAGGTGGACCGTTCATTAAAAGGCTTCAAATTTTATCAACAAATGTAAATAAACCAGTCTGTTTCAATACTATTTACTGGTGTCGCTTTACTGCTAAACTCTTTATGTAAACGCTAAATGCTGGTTTATGAATGAATAATGAAGCAGTATTGTGTTCTAAGCTAAAATTAACGCTCCACAATGAATATTCCACTAATAAAGATAACACAGAGTGACTTGATGAGCGGATTACAAAACACATATCTAGAATCAACTTAAAAAGCTCACAAATAAGCTAATGATTATGTAGGAAAGACCAGTCGAAGAACTGAAAACAGCTATAAGGGCAACAATGAACAATAAAATATTTTTTACAGCAAAAAGGCGAGCTTATACCCAGATAGCACAAAATATTACATACATATTTAGGAAATATTTATATGTTTGCTAAATATTTGAGATCAAAAGCAAGTATTTCTTAAATATTATTTTTAAAATATTTGTTTCTAATATTTAATTAGCATGAAACAAATAAGTTATTAATAATTTTCTTATTACATAATACTTTT